GCCTGGCCTTTTTTTTTTTTTTGAGTTGCAGTCTTACTCTATTGCCCAGGCTGGAGTGCAGTGGCACACTCACAGCCACCACAGCCTTGATCTGCTGGGCTCAGGTGATCTTTCCGCCTCAGCCTTCCAAGTAGCTGGAACTACAGATGCGTGCCACCACACCCGGGTAATTTTTTTGATTTATTGTAGAGATGTCTCGCCAAGTTGCCCAGGCTGGTCTCGAACCCCTGGGCTCAAGCAATTCCTTTCACCTCAGCCTCCCAAAGTGCTGGGATTACAGGCATGAGCCACTGCACCTGGCAAGAAGTCTTTTTCTTTTCTTTTTTTTTTTTTTTTTTTGAGTTGGAGTCTCACTCTGTCACCTAGACTGGAGTGCAGTGGCTGCTCCCTGCCACCGCAGCCTTGACCTGCTGGACTCTGGCGATCCTTCAGCCTCAGCCTTCTAAGTAGCTGGAACTACAGGCGCGCGCTACCATGCCCAGCTAAGTTTTTGATTCATTGTAGAGATGAGGTCTCGCCAAGTTGCCCAGGCGGCTCTCGAACCTGCGAGCTCAGACAATCCACTCACCTCAGCCTCCCAAAGGCGCGGGATTACAGGCTGAGCCACCGAGCCCGGCTAGAACTCTTTTGCTTAATGCACCAGTTCTTTCTTCATAATATACTGTTTTTGTTTTAGAGATTCCTTCTTCATCTCTAAACATTTCAAGCTTACTCTATCTGGCATAACATTACTACGATGTGGCTGGTGTGGTGGCTCATGCTTGTAATCCCAGCGCTTTGGGAAAGCCAAGGCAGGAGAATTGCTTGAGCCCAGGAGTTCAAGAAAAGCCTTGGCAATATAGCACGACCTCATCTCTACATAAAAATTAGTCTGGCATGTGGGTGCCTGTAGTCCCAGCTATTGGGGGGTGGCAAGGGGGTTGGCGGCAGAAGGATCACTTGAGCCTAAGAGGTCAAGACTGTGTGCCATGATCGAGTCACTGCTCTCCAGCCTGGGCTAGAGAGTGAGATCCTGACTCAAAACAGCAAAAACATTAGTATTATGTGCGAAACATCATCCTAAGTGTTTTACAGGTAGTGTCTCATTTTATCTTTTTTTTTTTTTTTTTTTT